TTTAATGAAAACTGTGTTACTTGAATTGACACTACTAGCCTGACCTTAGATTAGGTAATAGATAGATTAGGTCCTAAGTTATATTTAAGGCTGCTCATATATTACACTTTAAAAATATTAATAGAAATTTTAAGACTATCAATAAAAACAAGCTAATTATTTGGCGTAATCTACAGAGCTTTTTTGTTTTAATACGATCCTGCCTATCAATACCTTATTTTATTACAAAATCTTTAAATACGCTTTAATCCGACCCTGACTAAGACCCCCGAATGGTGTCGCTAAGGTCAAATTTTCTTAGTATAATATTTGCACGCGATCAGCGGCAAGTGAGCCTGCCGATTGTTTATTATGCCGTGCCTAAGTATTTAATTTTTTTACTAACTTAATTTTATCGTTTGCTATTTTAGTATCATAATTGTATTCATTGAAGTCATGGTATTGCTTGACGTTTCCTATAATCATATCTTTATCAGTTGTAAGCAGGTAGGGTTAGGTTTGGCCCAAACACTGCGGCCTCTTGGGTCTATTGTATTCCCCTGCTTTCCCCGTATTCAGGTATTATCTTCGGAATAGTCCTGTGTCTTTGGTTAGTTTTAATAGGTTCTCTACCAAGTGTTCCTGGGGCGTTCTTTCCGGTTCTAGGCCGAAAATGATGAAACGTCGCCCAGTAAGAGCTTCGCATTCGAAGATCACATAGTATGAGGTTTCTTCCTCTTCCATGCAAAGTCTAACACGTAGTGGGATCATTGTGTAATCCCATTACATGAAGGTGTTTCAGCAAGCAGTGCCCCGTTAGTAATCCCACATTGGTGGATATCTGAGGCCTTGCGAGTTGTAGTGCCTCAGTAGTCATACGTGGGATTGGTCCCCTTAGCATGAGCTTACTGATTCTGTGCCCTATTATCTGTTGCCAGTGAATTTGGTGTTTTGTGGTTATCCACCTGTTCACTGCCTGTCGAGCAGAGGTTTTGCTTATCCCAAATACAGGTTCGGGTCCTGTGAATGGTAGATCTGTTCCCTCTTTAGCGAGTTCATCAACCTTTTCATTTCCTTGGATACCTTTGTGCCCTGGTACCCACGCTAGTTTTACCTTGTGGGTTGCCAGATCATTTAGTATTCCAAGGCAGTTCCAGACAAGCTCTGACTTCATTTTGTTTGAATCAAGAGCCTTTAAAGCTGCCTGGCTATCTGAGAGAATTAGGATGGTTTGTTTTTTGTACTTCCTTCTTAAATTCTCTCGTACACACAATTCGATTGCATGCATTTCAGCCTGAAATACAGTGACATGTTTTCCCAATGAGACGATGATGCCGCATTTGGGTTTAACTCCATGTACGTCAGAGCCTGTTCCCTTGTTAGTTTTAGATCCATCCCTATACCACACGAGACCGCTAAGCAAGTATTTATCTATTTCCTTATTTACCTCGTTCCAGTTGACCTGGAAGAGTCTGTTAAAAGTTAGGAGGGGTGTCATGTGATCTGATCCCATATTTATTATTGAATCATTTACTTCATGTGTTATTCTGGTATGTTTTATATGTCCCAGTGGGTTTCAGTTCTTGGAGATTTCCAGTCTGTGTGCACTCATTCTGGCTTCCCCCTTTATGACTAGATCAAGGGGTGGGAGGTTTAGAATGATTTCCATAGAGGTTGTCGGTGTAATTCTCAGTGCTCCTGTAATACAGAGGCATGCCAGCCTCTGTACTCCTGAGAGGGTATTGAGGACTGTTTTCTGGTTTACTTTTGGCCACCAAACAACCGCTCCATAAGTTATCATGGGTCTTGTTATTGCTAAATATAGCCAGTGGACCATTTTTGGTTTTAATCCCCGTCTCCCTACAATGAGAGACATTTTATATTTGTAAGTGTTGGTTCCAAGTAAGTTTGCTATCTAGGATTAGACCCAAATATTTTACTTGGTTCGTTTTGTTTAGCCTTCCTCCAAACAGTCGGAATTTCTAAAACCTCCAACCTTGTTTTCCAAGTAAAGGTTATGTGCCTTGTCAGGGTTTACCAAGAGGTTTTCCCTAATGCACCACATTTCTATCAGCCTAAGAGCTCTTTGCATTAGTTCAAAGACTGTGGTTTGGTGTTTCCCTAGGATAAGGATGACTATGTCGTCGGCATATCCTTGGACGTACCGCCCTTGATTGTTTAATGTTTAAGTATAAGGGGTTAAGAAAAGGTCCTTTATTTCTCACACGTCAATTTTAATTGGCGACCGGTTTCGAAGCTATTGCTTCATCATCAGGCACACCTAAATGGAATGTCAAGGAGTCAGTAGTAATGTTTTCCTATAATCATGAATTTCGTTTTATTTTTATTAATTTTTAATGAGTTGACGCAGCACAACTTATATACTGACTTCAGTGTTTCATATAATACATTAATTATTAGGATTAGACACTAAATATGAGGAAAAAAGATGGTACCGACTTTAAAGAATGTACATTCAAGTTTTTATGGAATGTAGCTAGACTTTTTATTAAATAAATGAGTTAAAATAAGCCAAAAATGTTCTGACCGAATATCCTTCGGCCAGTGATAAATACTCATAATTTTATTTCAAATACCTCAAGTACGTGATACTTAACGTGAGTGCCAAATCTATTACATGACAAGTTGGGTGTTGAATATGTTACCCTAGTTACCCTCGGCCTAGCTCAGCAGGGTCGGTGAAATTCAGCTTAGAATTTGACTAACAAATTAATGGCACTATCTTTATTTAAAAAGAAAATGTTATATTAATGGTTAATGTATTTTTTTTTTTAACTAAGTTAGTGGCACTGGATATAAACCAACAGGCCAGTCAATTGTCAGGTGAACAAATAAAAATATCATATAACAAACTTTATTATTTTACAAATTATATTAAAGTTGCTCTATACAGAAAGTAAAAGTTGAAAAGTCTTTTGGTAGGTAGAGAGGGGGTAAACGTCAAACCACGTCGGGCGGCTCCGAGAATTTCACAGTAATGTTTACCTGCCAGTGTCGTTTCATAGAATAAGTAATTTTAAATTGTTATCAGCGGAACCGGACAATCGCATGTATTTATGGATTATAAATAATTATTAAACATGTATTATAATATTCAAATTATAATTTTACAAAATTTCAACAGCTATTCACAATTTATTAAACTATTTATTCGAAATTGTTATTAACATCTATAAAATAATTTTGTACGCCAATGTATCGCGTCCACTTCGGTGAAATCCGCTGCCAACCTGTCAATTTATGTGTATAAAGTGGGAGAACTGGCAAAAGCATTTCCAACTTTTACTTCTGTTCTACCTTAATAACTAAAATAACCTGAACTTAATATGGTTTAAGTGTTTTGTTTATTTTTGTTTTTTTTTTTTGTTTTTTTTTTTTTTTTATTTTTGTTTTTATTTTTGTTTTTTTTTTCTTTTTTGTTTTTCTTTTCTTTTTTGTTTTTTTTTTCCTATTTTTTCTTAGATGGTTAATAAATACAAATTATGCCATTAATTTGCTAGCTGAAAGTAAGGAAGAAATTAAAAGAATTAAATTAAAAAATAGTGACTTTAATGTAAACGTCAAACAAAACTCTACTGGGTTATGTTATTGAACACTTCCAAAGTTTTTACAACAAGAACAATTTATTTATGCCGCGTTTGAGAATCCACATCGGATGCATTTTTTACATCTCGAGCGTTTTTTATCCACATCGGACACATCTGTGCCATTACATTTACGTATACTGAATCACGTGATCAAAGATTTACTACATCTCAGATACATTCGATGTGGATTCTCAAACGCGGCATTAGATTGAATTAAATTAAGTAGACTGAATTAAGTTGAGTAGACTACCAAGTGACTTTATGACATTAAATCAATTAACAAACGTGGCTCAATATATATAAATCGGTAAAAATTCTCAGGCATCAACGAATGAGACTTAGCTGTGTTGGTTGGACGGTCGAGGCTTTCAAGCGCCGAGCTGGATGCTGTCGATCATTCCAGAGCCGCAAAGTAAGGTTACAGATGTCTGGTTGACTATAATGGCGGTATTATACAGCTCCACGGCTATTCTATTACTTGGATACCTTCATTCATTCTATCTTCGTTGTAACCGCTTTACCTCTTTATTTCGAGGTATCTTTCCTCTTTGTTTCCTCTTTATTAAAAAAAAAAAAAAAAAAACGATGTCTGTCAGTGACAGACTGTCACTTATCTAAAAAAACTTTTCCATCTTTTAACATGTGTTACACAAAAAGAAAGTACCAAAATAAGTACATTTAATATAAATCAATTATTAACATTACATCGATTGATTACATTCCCAACAGGATTCAGTTAATCAATTCGTGGAACTCACGTAATAATTTAAAAACGAGATGTTAAACCTGTAATCACTTATCAAGCAATTCTAAATAATCAAATATATTAAATAATTACCTTTGGTCGCCGATCACTGCTTCCTTCTATCGTCCGACCGCCAAAGACCAAATTATTTATTTTAACCTCCTACAAGTGGCCTTGACAATAGTTTCTCGTACCAGTGGCGTGCCTGAATGTTTTCCCAGGAGGGTATATTTATTGAATGTCGTTAATATTGCGGAAATAAAACTGAAACGTTATTTATAATGTTACAACATTTCTCAAGGTAACATTTACCAAGCTAAGTGCTTTGGGTAAGTAGAAAAAATATTTCGATTTATCACTGTCCTTGGGATATTACTACTGAAAATTCCATTTAATTTTACACGATGACCTAAAAAATATATGGGATTGCGGCCGGGCCCCAGAGGGTTGGCTTTCTGGGTATGAATTTTATATGGCATCCCCTTGCCAATAAAAGTTGACCTGTTTTTTTTCTTAAATTTACGTAAAATGAAAAGTTATTTCGACTGGCTGGTTTTGAAATGAAATAAACTTGTAGACGAGTTTAATGACGTGGAAAATAAGGGGTTTAATTTTAGTAATTTTAAAAAGATAAAGAAATATAAAAAAATACTTTCAACTTATATTGGTAAGTACAGATACATTTCTAGTATAATTTTAATTAGTCGTTTTGTTATAAGAGTTGTTACTTATACTGCTTTCGTGTATTTTACGATGTTTTTTCATACTGCTTGAATCATAAAATCCTTTGTCACACACATCACAAATATAAGGTCTGTCACCTGTGTGGATTCGTAGGTGAACTTTGTAGGATCCAGAATGACTAAAATAAATAAATTGGTGTTTTATTCAAACTTAATAAAAAAATTAAAAAAGGACAAATTTAAATTAATAGAAAATTGCTTGGCTTGTTTTTGTAAAAAAAGTTATCGCTTATCTACTTCTTTAAAAATTCACTAAGATGACGGTCATGCAGTTTTTTTTTAGATAAAATGGAACTATTGGAAGATTTTTTCTGTCAAACCACTTGTCGAAAGCAGCGGACCAAGCTTCTATCTGAATTTCATTGTAATATTTAACATAGATTGTAACAAAAATTTTATTTAGGTATGTAACTCTATATTTATATTAATTATAAAAAGTTTATATGACGCTAGTACTCGAAATAAAAACAAACAAATTTATATGGAATCACCGCGCATTTTTAAAAACAAAATGAGAAAAAATATTTTTGCGGAAATGGTTTTTTCAGTAGGTATATCATAGAAATTTGGTTGTTAAGGTATTGCATAGCTTTTACACCCCCCACTCCGACCGGCACAGCGTGCGGCGTTAAACAATATTAACTTCTCATTTATTCAATAAAAGAAAATCGAAAAACCGAAAAATCAAAAAATTGAAAAATCGAAAAAGAAATTCCGTAACGAAAATAAACCTAACACCCCCCACTCCGACCGGCACAGCGGTGCGGCGTTGAAAGCCGTGCATCGTCTAGCGTCGTTTCAGTTCGGCAGACTTCGGCACGGTGTTTGTGTGCGTGCGACTAGACGTATGCGTGTAGACTAGCTGCTAACTGCTCATAACTGATTCTATCTCTTTTAGACATAATTTCGGAAAAATTGAATTTGAAAATGAATAATAATCTACAAGAATCCACAACAAAATATGGGACCACCATTGACGCGGTATTTTCCAGATATTTAGAGGATATCAAGTCTCAAACTTATGTTTCTTATTTCAGTTACCATAAACCTATAGTTTCAATGATAAAAATTCCTGAATAACCTACATGTATTGTAAAATAATAAAAATATTTTAAACAATATTAACTCATTTATTCAATAAAAGAACAAAATTTGTTTTCTTATCGGTCACCACGCTCAAAAAGTGTAACTCGAATTAATCAAAGAAAAAACTTGAATTAATATCAAAGAAAAAAAAATACTGCATAAATAAAATAATTAAATATTTATAATTGCATAAGTTGATAAAAAATGCTATGCAATAGCTTTACCGCGGCAGTCCCCGAGTGCCACACGTATTTTATTAAATTTTAAGGAAACCTAATTTCTATTTTTTTAAATATAAATGTGGGTACTTAATATTGACAGTTTACTATTTTTATATTAATTTCGTGTTCCCTGTCACTGAGGTATAGAATTATCGGTTAATCCCTTATATTCCAATCAAATAGACCTTTAAATCAAAATTTTGGAGGAAATACAGAAATTTTTGATATGAGTCACTTTAGAGTATTTGAAAACGATATATAAAAAATGTTGTTTTTCAGGCACCGGCAAATGTCAAAAAACAAGAAAATAAAGTGTTTTTTTAGGGTTATTTAAAAAAAGTTCTGAATAAAAATTGTAAAGCATAAAGTTTTACATAAAAATGATGTTTAACATTTTTTCCTATTCTTAAAACTGACAGAGTTATGGTGGTTAGAAATTAAAAGGAGATATATATGGCTTGGAAAAATCATAGCGAGTTGAAAATTCAATGATTCTGTAGTTTCTTTTTATTATTTATTCAGAAAATTATAAATTTCTTTTAAGAAAAATTTGTTTTTTTTAAGTTATAACAATTTTAATTTAGAAATTTTCATTATACGAATTTATATGGTAAAATAAATAAACTTATTAGCTTGACTGACATGAACTAATAAAAACGACATCCCGACAGTTTGGTCCACACTTGAAGTTCCATTAAATAAATAAAAAAAATAAATAATTAAAAAAAAATTAAATAAATAAAAATTAAAAATAATTATAATTAAAAAATTTAAATAAACAAAAATACATAAAAATAAATAAATAAAAATAATTATTACTAAAAAATTAAAAAAATAAATAATAAATAAAAACAAATAAAAATAAATAAAATTTAAATGAATAAAAATAACATACACAATAAAATAAAAAATATTCATTTTTATTTATTTATTTTGATTTATATTTATTTATTTTTATTTATTTTCATTAATTTTATTTATCTTTTCATTTTTTTTTATTTATTTTTGTTTAATTTCTATTTTTAATACATTACCTACTTGGCTGTAAAGCGGAGCATGCAAGGGTTTCGTAGTACCTCACTTTTAAAGTTTATTTTTGACTTATTCTGAAAGAAAAAAATATGTGCGTGTAGGTAAAGGATAAATCTATGCTCCTCTGAAGACACTTTTTTAAAATTTGAAACTGTTTTTTCTAAAAAACAATACAAAGCTCGACTATTTTTACCCATTTTCTCAATTTTTTTTTAGAAAAAACTAAATTGAATTTTGAAAAAGTGGTTCCAGAGGAGCATAGATTTAACCTTTACCTACGCATACATATTTTTTTCTTTTAAAAACATTCAAAAATAAACTTTAAAAGTGGGGTACTACGAAACCCTTACATTGCAAGATTTTTCGTCTGGAAAGTGGCGCCTCTGTTAGATTTTCAAGAAATTAATATTTGTGAATGAAAACAATTTATAATATATTTTACTGATATTTTACGAGGGATGAATAAATTTTACATATTTTACACCTTATTTTTTACGTAATTTATTTCTGTAATACTAAGATTGGTATATATATTATATGCAAGGGTTTCATAGTACATCAATTTTACGGATTATTTTTTAATTTTACTAAAAGAAATTTTATCTAAGTAAAGGTAAAGGTTTAACCCATACCTCTCTGGAGTCACTTTAAAAATACGAATCAGTCTCTTTTGAAAAAAATCTAAGAAAAGAAACGAAAAGAAATAGAAATGTTAAAAAATGCTAGAAGAGAACCATATATTTAATTTTTGCCTACAGGAGCATTTATTTTTATTGACAATAAAAATAGAAATACGTTAAAAGCTTTTTCGTCTAGAGGGTGACACCAACAAAATATATATCTTTTTTTTCTACTATTTAGTGATAAACAGTATATAAGTGATTTTAATTCATGTTATTTTTTACATACAGTAACTTCGCTCGATTACATTAAATTAATTTTATCATTTATTTATTAAAAAATATATATCCTAAATTGGAAGATATACACTGAGATATGAATTATAAATATGTTTTTGTTTAATGAATACCTCAAGTCAACAATAATTATTAATTCCAGCATGTTAATATCTCTTCAATCCGTTAAAGTAATGTAAATATTTTTTCTTGCTTTCGGGCATGGCTTTGATCTGTCGCACCCTTTGAGGTGTGCTGCAAGAGAAAATTTTCTAAAGAGTTAGCCAATGTCTATAAATGAGAAAAAAACGATTGTGACAAGCTGATTGTACATTGTGGCACAATAAAAGACGGAAACGAGTCCCTGCTTTAAAATTTAGAGAAATTTGTAAAAAATCTCCTAAAATCTTCTATTTATTTCTAAAGCCACCCGATATGACATGGACCATAAATTCAGAGCAAAATAAGATTTGGAAATTTATTTGCAAGTAAAAGTTTTTAAATGTGGACATTTTATTGAATTCGAATTTGATTATGTTGCTGCCAGTCTGGATGGAATTAAAAAAAAAAACAAAACACTATGATAGAGTTAAAATGTCCATATGAAGCTGAAGTGCTGACTGTAGAAGAAGAAATACGCAGTAGAGAAATAACTTTTTGGAAAAAGGACAATACCATTAAGGAGAACCACTATTGGTATTTTCAAATTTAAGGCTAGCTGCACATAACACAAATGGATTTTTTCATTTTGTGCTTTTGGACTTCTGTAGGAATAAAAGTGGAGAAAATATCTCATAATTGTAATATATTGGAATAAATATGTGATGCGTATCACCCTGTAATAATATCAATGTTTGGCGATAGCCGTTTTTTTGTATTACTATTGAGTTTACCTTCATGTGGAATATACCGAAATAAAGTCAGTTATAAGTTATAATATACAACATTTACTTGTTTTATTTCTAATAATAAATTCGCTCCGATTAACTTAATAACTGGGAATATTAAATAATTAGTAATTAATTGAAGATATTACACTGGCGCAGTCTTAAAACTGTTTAATACATTATAAATACATAAATATTTGCTCATAAATAATAAATTGTGGTGAAAAGATGGCCGTGGGACAGTTAGAAACATTTAGATTGGGAGAAGGGAACTGGAATTCATACACTACACGTATGGAGCAGTATTTTAAGGTAAATAAAGTAGAAGAAAATATGAAAACTGCCCTATTGATCACCGCTGTCGGAGATCAGACATACGAGCTCATGGAAGATCTTTGCAGCCCGGTTAAGCCCGCAGACAAGACGTTTCTTGCTCTAACTAAAATGTTGGCTGACCATCTGCAACCCACGCCATCTGAAATAGCTGAACGTTACAAGTTCCGGCAGAGAAAACAGGAAATGGGTGAGAAAATTTCATCGTATATAGCAGCATTAAAGCAACTGGCAAAATACTGTAAATTTGGAGATAATTTAGAAACTCAATTAAGAGATCAGTTGGTTTTTGGGTTACTGAATGATGTCATTCGGCAACGTCTTTTTCAAGAAAAATCTCTTAAGTACACGGAAGCAGTAGAAATAGCAGTAAATATGGAAGCAGCAGAGAGAAATTCCGAACTTGTTGGCGGTACCAACAAGGTAAATTTTATGAAACAACAACCAGGTTCCAGCCAATTTAAAAAATCGAAGTTTAATACGCAGACGCCATCTTGTAGCTTTGGACCAGGAGAGAATCATCAGCCGTGCCGCCATTGTGGAAAGAAGAACCACAGCACTTCCGCCTGTTTTTTCGCAAACGCCACCTGCAGAACATGTGGCCGCAAAGGACACACAAGCTCCGTTTATAAGAAAAAAGGTACTGATAAAAATTTTGATTTTTCTAAATTTAATAAATTTGTTTCGGTTGAAAATGATTGTACTGATTCCGATTCTGATTATTATTTTAATAATATTACGCAGCTCAATAAAAAACCCTTAAAAATACCGACGAAATTAAATTTGACTACTCACATATATTTTATTTAGAAGAAAATCTTCCTATAGACTATAAAAAAGTAGCATTATTTACAAAAAAAGATCCTCTTTTAAATACCGTTTATGGATATTGTTTTCACGGTTGGCCCGATAAGTCTCAAATTGTAGAAAAAGCAACTCCTTTCTATTTAAAGAAAGATGAATTACATTTAGAACACGGATGCCTATTGTGGGGTTACAGGGTGGTTGTGCCAGAGAAATTAAAATCAATTTTACTTGAACAAATTCATTTATCTCATTTGGGCATAACCAAATGTAAATCAATGGCTCGATCTTACTTTTGGTGGCCTAAGGTTGATGAAGAGATTGAAAAAATGTGTAAAAATTGTGAAACTTGTAATTCAGTTCAAAATAACCCACCAAAAGTACATCTGCATCCTTGGCCCTACGAAAATGCTCCGTGGAGTCGTTTACATTTAGATTTTTTAGGACCTTTATTGGGAAATAAATACTTAATTGTTATTGATTCTTTTACAAAATGGCCAGAAATTTTTAAAACAAATATTAGTGATGCTAAGCATGTAATTTCTATTTTAAAAAGATTATTTGCAACCTTCGGTCTGCCTAATAAAATTGTTTCCGATAATGGCCCGCCCTTTTCCTCAAATGAATTTCGAGAATTTTTAACAATAAATGGTATCAGACAACTTTTTACCACCCCAAAGCATGCTGCTAGTAATGGCCAGGCCGAAAATTCCGTAAAAATATTTAAACTGGCTATAAAAAAGGCGTTTTGGGAAAATAAAAACAAAGATGATTTTCTTTCACAATTTTTGTTTGATTATCGAAACACACCACATAGCACAACAGGGGAAAGTCCTTCGAAATTAATGTTTCAACGGAAAATTCGTGGAAAATTGGATTTACTGATTCCAAACTCAAGGAAAATTGTGGAAGATAAAGTAGAAAAACAAAAAGATCATTATGGAGGTAAACTAAGAAATTTTGAAATTGGTCAGAAAGTTTATCTTAAAGATTTTAAAAATCCGGATCGTCCATCATGGACAGAGGGAGTAGTAACTGGTAGAGAGGGATCGGTTATTTTTGATGTAAAATCTAAAGAAGGTAAAGAATTTCGACGTCATTCAAATCAACTCAGAGCATCCATGGGAATGAATGTGGCAGAAAACCATGATATTTTAACAAACAGTTCTGATTCGGTACAAGAACTTGAAAGTAAAGAAATAAATCCCCCTGAAAGTGAATTTACTGAATCAGGAAATTCTAAATCTGAAAATGAGATTGAAAAACCTGAGACAGGAAATTCTAGATATTTTTTAAGACCTAGATAAGTAATATTTTTTTGGTAATACTACTTATGTTTTATATATTGCTAATATTGTGTATATATGTATAGTTAGGATATAATTAAGTTGATTGTGCGCGGTACATTAACTATAGTGAAGGTGAAAATAAAAAAAAAAATATATATATATATTTTGGTGCGTTATAGATTTAGGTATAGCAATTAGAATATAATTATTATTTTTTTTATTATTAAGGTAAAAGTTATGTTTCAGTTTCAGGGCGGAATGTGTAATATATTGGAATAAATATGTGATGCGTATCACCCTGTAATAATATCAATGTTTGGCGATAGCCGTTTTTTTTTGTATTACTATTGAGTTTACCTTCATGTGGAATATACCGAAATAAAGTCAGTTATAATACAACATTTACTTGTTTTATTTCTAATAATAAATTCGCTCCGATTAACTTAATAACTGGGAATATTAAATAATTAGTAATTAATTGAAGATATTACAATAATGACAGCTTTTGGGAAGAAAAAATACAAAATAAAATAAAAAAATTTTATATGCAATATGCCCTGTCAGAACTTGTTGACAGCGAAGCTAATAGAGACATGGAAGTACAGGACAGAATTATTATTTATTATTATTTATTATTATAATACACTATTTTAAATTTAGGATTTTACCAGTGGAAGTGCTAATTGATGATATATAATTATTACTATACCAAATGTTTTAAAAGGCTACACCAACTAGTGGACCACTCTTTTAAGTCCCCAAATAATAGTTTCAAGATTTTGATTCGGATATTTTTATTTCACAAAAATAATAAATCAGTTTTTGTTTTTTATGTAAATCATATCATTTTCAAGGCAATAAAACAGAAGAAAAGTCACCGAATACCGATTTCAAAAAGGTCTATTAGTTTTTATAGGAAATGAAAAGAGAAAGAACGCTTTTTAATCAAGTTAAAATTCTTTACTAATTTCGCTCTTTCTCTTCGACGATGTCCGGTCTCCTTCTTGTTTAAAATCGATAACTATAAACGGATTAAGGTATTTTGTACCGTTTTAAAAAATTTAAGAAAAATTTTGAAGAATATTTGTTTTTTTAAAAAAATTAGTAAACTTTGACAAACATGTACAATATTCTAAAAGATAAATCACATTACGTGTAGGTAAAGGTTAAATCTATGCTCCTCTGGAACCACTTTTTCAAAATTCAATTTAGTTTTTTCTAAAAAAAATTGAGAAAATGGGTAAAAATAGTCGAGCTTTGTATTTTTTTTTTTTTTTAGAAAAAAACAGTTTCAAATTTTAAAAAGTGTCTCCAGAGGAGCATAGATTTATCCTTTACCTACACGCACATATTTTTTTCTTTCAGAAAGGGTCAAAAATAAACTTTAAAAGTGGGGTACTACGAAACCCTTGCATGCTCCGCTTTACAGCCAAGTAAATACTCCTCTTAAGAAACGAAAATTTTATTTATTTTTCTAAAATAATATGGATTTTCCTTTAAAATATATATAGTGGCTCACAAAAAGTCTGCTTTTTATGTTACTTGTTTCAGAAAATGTTATTCCTGATAAAACTTGGGGTTTAATTAAACCTTAAACTTTATTTATTCAAAAAATTCTGTATCATAAATATAAATTTGGCTGCACAGTGAACTAGGTAGGTACTTTTCTAGGAACCGAACCCACATTTTTACATATAAGATTAATTTAACAAGATATATATAACTCCACATAGTAGTTTTTTAGTTAATACAATTAATATAGATTATTATATCCTTTTTAACCTATTTCAAAAAGGAGGAGGTTCTCAATTCGTTTGTATATATTTTTTTTATGTATGTTCAGCGATAATTCTTTAACACAATGTCCGATTTAAATGATTCTTTTTTGCTGGAAAGGGGGTACTTCCGGGATGGTCCCATATAAATTTGGTCAAAATCTAATAATTGGATCCATGAGAAAATTCTCAAACTTTTCATTTTTTATGTAGGTATGTTTAGCGATAATTCTTTACCACCTTGTCCGATTTCTATAATTATTTTCGTTAGTAAGGGGGTACCTCAGGGGTGATCCCATATAAATTTGGTTAAGATGTGGTGATGACATCTGCGCGATTTTAAAGTTGGTTTTTTAAAATTACTTTTAATACATGTTACGTAAATTAAAAGTTTAATAATTTGGTGCTTTCTTGATGCGTCGTTTTAAGTACAGATAATTATCATTACTGACAATTTATTTTAAATTATTAAAATAATATTTTGTTGATCCAAAAAAGGCAAACAAAAAAGCCATGTAATTATTTTTTTTATTTATTTAATGGAACTTCAAGTGTGGACCAAACTGTCGGGATGTCGTTTTTATTAGTTCATGTCAGTCAAGCTAATAAGTTTATTTATTTTACCATATAAATTCGTATAATGAAAATTTCTAAATTAAAATTGTTATAACTTAAAAAAAACAAATTTTTCTTAAAAGAAATTTATAATTTTCTGAGTAAATAATAAAAAGGAACTACAAAATCATTGAATTTTCAGCTCGCTATGATTTTTCCAAGTCATATATATCTCCTCTTAATTTCTAACCACCCTAACTCTGTCAGTTTTAATAATAGCAAAAAATGTCAAATATCATTTTTATGTAAAACTTTATGCTTTACAATTTTTATTAAAAACTTTTTTTTATATCACTTACCGTTTTTAGATAACCTTAAAAAAACACTTTATTTTCTTGTTTTTTGACATTTGCCGGTGCTTGAAAAACAAAATTTTTTTACATATCGTTTTCAAATACGTTAAAGTGACTTATATCAAAAATTCCTGTATTTCCTCCAAAATTTTGATATAAAGGTCTATTTGACTGGACTATTAGGGTTTTCTCATTTACATTTTATAATGTATTGTATTGGAGATTTTTCGAATTGGTCATACTAAAATCTAATGAAAATTCAGATAAGAAGGTATCAATATTTACTTTTTTTCTGCTTTAAACAATCCTTTGCCTGTGCCATAAAAACTGTCCTCTCATGCATTTTCAAATAAACTATAGTTCCTAACTAATATAACAGAATATTCTTACCTGAATGCCTTATCACAGTAGCTACAATTATAAGGTTTTTCGCCACTATGGGTTCTTATATGATACGTCAAATGGCCTTTTTGTGAAAAAGTTTTGTCACAAATAACACATACATGCGACTTTTCTCCGCTATGTGTACGAGTATGCTTCAACAAGCTATTTTTCTGTGCGAAACTTTTATTACAGATATCACAAATGTAAGGTTTAATTTCGGAATGCAGCTTTTGGTGTTGCTTCAAAAGGGACTTCGTCGCAAATTTTTTTCCGCATTGACTACATAGAAATGTTTTATCGCAATGAGTAAGCATGTGACGGTTAAAAGTGTGTGCGGCGGTAAACATTTTGTCGCAATTTTTGCAAGTTAAGTCATTCAAATCAGCCAACTTATCACTTTTGTGCATGTAAATATGGTTGGTTAAAGCATGTTTTGTTATAAAAGTTTTTCCACATATATTACATATAAAAGATTTCTCGCTGTAGTGTGTTCGTATGTGATCTGTTAATGTCGGAGCTTGGATGAAGCCTTTACCACATATGTGGCATACATGAGGTTTCTTTTCTTTATGAACAAATTTGTGACGGTATAAACTTGATCTGAATCTGTATTTTTCTCCGCATTCTTCGCATTCATAAGGTGCTTCTTTAGTGTGCGAATTTAAATGATCTTTAAGTTTATAAGTGCTGATTACTTTATTACATATAACACAAGGTTCCTTTTTTCGTCTTAACTCTGCTTCTTTTCTTCTGTGCGTTAAATAATTAGCATATGAATTAAATTTTAAGTTGCAGAAAGTGCACGTTATTTCATTACTACTAGGGTCATATAATTTTACTTCACTTTTATCAGAATCACAGTCCGAATCCGAATTATCATTACAATAATAATTAGATTTAATTTCGTTTGTATCCAAGTCTGTATCATCATTTTGATCATCAGCATTCTCTTCTGTTACTTCTTCTTCATTTGCAGGGATGGAGTTTTTATTTAAAACATCTTGCAAAATAATTTGAGATTGGTGGATACGTTCTTTGAACATGTAAAATTGTATTACAATTTCAGCACACGTATCACATATTTTTTTTGGTAGCTCATCAGTTGAATCCAACTAAAAATTAAAATTTTAAAAATGTAATTAAATATTTATTTTTCTATAACTAACTAAATAATTTGGATTTTGCGAACGCTAACAATATCCCAATAGCGTTATAGGTATGTACATATTAGAGAATGAATAATCTTTACTGAGTAAGTAATATTAATTTTATTTTAAATTCAGAGGCCCTACTCTCGAATGTCTATTTCCAAATGTTACACGTAACATAGATGAAATGCCGAATAAGAACGCAAAAACGTATTATTTACAATTTCACCTAATTTATCATTCATTAGTCCTGTCTGTCTAAGTCATTAAGAAATTTATATAGCTCCATTTTTTCAAATTGCAGGTAAAAAGATTATATTACAGACCTTTCATATCTCCGAGCAATTACTACTAGAGGGAGTCTTCCCCTTCCCACCTTCCCCGCCTTAAATTTTGTTAGCAACATCTACTGCCCCCGAGGGGGGAAATATCTCTTCTGTAATTGGCTTATTTAATCAGCGTTGCCAAGTTTGACAGCGGGAGTTCTGACATGTCAATTATTGATTTGTATTTTACAAAAAATATAATTATTTATAGCCTTCTAAGAGTTTTAAATATATATTTAAGATTTATTATCTGCTATAATATGGTGAAAACATGCTTTATGTGTAAAAGACCTGTTGAAAATACTTCTTCAAGATTATATCATAGGTAAGTACAAACACAACTTAATTATCAGAGGCGGTGCATTAAGCAATCATCTTTAATTTGGAATTAAACTTTCTTATTTTTGAAAAAGTAAAATTAAGAGGAAATAAACCCCAGCTAAGTTCGTCTTCATCTGTCTCATAATTACTTATTACATAAATAAAGAAAATTTAAACCTGTGACTTCATTTTAATATCACATCTTTGAAAAGTTAATTATTATTTTTTTATTGTAGGTTTCCTTTTCTTGATATGATAAAAAGAAATAAATTGTTCCAAAATAACTTTATGCTAATGAAGATTTTTATTACAGACCTCAGGGGAGGAAAGTATTAAAGAAAAATACAATTTCAGTAAATTTCGACGAGAGAGGTATAATAATCCTATCACTACTGCCTCACCATATTCATCTACTACTAAAATACTGAAGGAATGTTTAAGGAAAAAGATAAAGCCACGTCTTTGTTGACAATTTTTTTTAAACTGTAATTTAATCGACTAATTTTGTGTATTGTTTAAATTTTCATATTATGTACTTAATTAATTTTAGATTTAACCAAAATGAACCTCAAAGATATGCTGATGATATAGAGTATCCCAAAAAAGCAAAAAGGTTACAAAATTCTTAAGAAAACTATTCAGAGCCAAAAACATAAAATAGTCACCATTTCGGTAGCCGCGTCAGGAGACCACTGAGGCGACCAGTAGGACGACAGATGCATACATGTTACGCTCCGTACATTTCGGAAGCTTGAAGAAGTGTCGCGACACTTGAAAATAACCATTCGAGGGAACGATCAGCGTTGCCAGACCTACTGTTTTTACGTAGATCCAGTGTTTTTGTCTCTAGTAAATTTTGTTCTTAATTTATTAAGTTTACCTCATTCTTCAGCAAATGGTTAAAGAATATTTTCTCTAGTAAATTTTCTGCAGTAAAAGCAGCGTAATAAGCATCCACTACTGTAGGTTGGCTCCATAAAAAAAAAACATCAAAATAAATCATTGTTTTTATTTAAAATGAAACAAAGAATTAATAGGGCATCATAAAAAGAACATGCATATGCCAAAAACTACGATTTTGAATTATCTGATTCAGACTGATCTAAAAGAAGTAGGTACTTATTATTTTTCATTGGTTTTTTCCCGTACGTTAAGTATATAATAAAAATGTTTTTATTTGTTTTTATTCTTTGTTTACTTTCTAATTTGAGTAGAAAAAAGTTTATTTTTCGTTTCTTATATACTTGTTTTTTTATTTACTACACTGCAAATTATAATTATTTCCCCCTGTATTAAAATCTACTGTTCAGATCTTCGGTTTTTTTTTACCCATACTGTTCCAAAATCTGGCAACGCTGCCTAGATCGAAAGAAATTTCCAACCTAATCACCCCCAAAAAGAAGCGATGCCCGAAGACAGTGACCCCGAGACAGATTCAGAAGTGTCGTCTTGACGACACTTCTCGTGTCGGGCCGTGCGAAATGTGTTCCATATAATTGTATATATTTTAGATGTGAAGCGACACTTCTCGGTCGCTCCTACCGAAATGGTACCTTAAATATATAGGTATAAATATTTGGATATTATGAGTGATTTTTTATTCTATAAATAGAACGTAATTTGCTTCTAAATCACTAGGAACTAATTATAAAACTTTTGAAAGAAAAAATTGAAAATTTGGAAAAGTATAATTTCCTGACCGTAGCAGTATTTTATATAAATAAAAATTGTATTTTCCGAAACATATAGTGCTGTGCTAAACAATAGAAAAACAAAAACATGACCGAATAAACCAAGGAAATTTTTATTTATATAAAAGTTAGTTACTCTAGAGGTCTGTGAAGTTAGCACCGCCAAATCCGAATTTTTATAAAAATAAACTGTCAATCGTTTGTCCACGATTGTCCAACAAAAATTTTCGTTTGTACACCCTTCAAAAAAAAAAGTTATAGCAAATTTAAAAATTTGAGCAAAATTTCACAGCACCGCCATAAAAGCTTTTTGATAATTTTAAAGATGTATTTGATTGTCCACGATTAGTCCACGTTTGTCCAACCAAAATTTTCGTTTGTCCACCTCCCAAAACCGAGATATTTACATAAATAAAAAAATAATAAATGGTGGTCTTTGGGGACAACCATAATACATTTCATACGAATTAGACACGACAATCGTTTGTCCACACATTATTTTCGTTTGTCCAGGCCCAATTTTTATTTGACCACCCTTCAAAAACAAATTATAGCATATTTAAAAATTTTGGTCAAATTTCACAGCACCGCCAGAAAAACTTTTTGATAATTTTAATGTGGCATTTGATATAACTAATAAAAAAATCAAACTATAAACAATTATTAATATAAGTACTTCTAATGACAGTTTATTAAAAATAACTATTGCAAACGTTTGTCTACACAATATTTTCGTCTGTCCAGATCAAATTTTCGTTGGTCGAGTGTTTAAAAAAAATTATAGCAATTTTAAAAATTTGAGCCAAATTTCACAGTACCGCTATAAAAAATTTTTGATGTCAAAGTGGCATTCGATTGTCCACACATTATTTTCGTTTTTCCAGGCTTTATTTTTGTTTGTCCAGAAACAAGTTATTAACAAATAAAAAATCAAAGTATATATAATTATTAATGTAAGTACTTCTAATGGCTATTTAATAAAACTAACTATTGCAATCGTTTGTCCGAGCCTCATTTTCTTTTTTTCATAAAACAGAAATAAAGTTATCAATAAATAAAAGGCTCAAAACAGGAACAATTATAAAAGTATTTTTATTAACAGAAACTACTACAATCATTTGCCAAAAAATTATTTTCATTTGTCCGTCTAAAATAACTTAGTTATCACAAGCAAAGAACCCAAAATTAAAACAATTTCTGACATAAGCTGTTAAAGACAATTAATTTATGTGAAGAATAATTCTTTTTCCTACAACCATAAATATTCCATAAACTTAGAAACTGATAAATTATAGAATATTTACGTATATTATAATTTACGACACCGGAGATGTATATAATAGAAATAAACTACCTGCTGCACTTTTGAGGATAGTGACCCATGTAAATATTCAATTTGGATAAAATGAGAACTTAATATGGCGGTGCTGAACTGAAATTTGTCATAACTTTTTTTTATTGGAGTAATATAATATAATATAATAATAATAATAATAATTCATATTTCGAGTTTTTAATTTGTTCATAATTTATTTCTGTTGGATGGACAAACGAAAATAATGTGTGGACAAACGATTCTCGTATTTAATTTATATGAAATCTATTAGGGTTGTCCCTAAAGACTATCTCCATTTTCTTTTATTTTTTAAATATCTCGGTTTTGGGGGATGGACAAACAACAATTTTGGTTGGACAAACGTGGACAATTGAATACTACTTTAAAATTATCAAAATGTTTTTGTGGGCGATGCTGTGAAATTTGGCTCAATTTTGTAAATTTGCTATAACTTTTTTTTAAGGGTGGACAAACGGAAATTGGCTCTGGACAAAGAAAAATATTGTGTGGACAAAGGATTGCAATATTTAGTTTACAAAAGTACTTATATTAATAGTTTCTTATGGTTTAAGTTTTAAATTGTTAATAACTTATTTTTGTTGGAATAAGAAACGAAAATAAGGACTGGGAAAATGAAACTAATGTGTAGACAAATGATTGCCGTATTTAATCCGTATGAAATATATTAAGGTTGTCCCTAGAGACCATCTGCATTATTTTTTATTTTTTAAATGTCTCGGTTTTGGGGGGTGGACAAACGAAAATTTTTCTTGGACAAACGTGGACTAATTGTGGACAATCGAATGCCACTTTGAAATTATCAAAAAGCTTTTATGGCGGTGCTGTGAAATTTGGCTCAAATTTTTAAATATGCTATAATTTGTTTTTGAAGGGTGGTCAAATAAAAATTGGGCCTGGACAAACGAAAATAATGTGTGGACAACCGATTGTCGTATCTAATTCGTATGAAATGTATTATGGTTGTCCCCAAAGACCACCTGTATTATTTTTTTATTTCTGTAAATATCTCTGTTTTGGGGGGTGGACAAACGAAAAATTTGGTTGGACAAACGTGGACAATCGAATACCACTTTGAAATTATCAAAAAGCTTTTATGGCGGTGCTGTGAAATTTGGCTTAAATTTTTAAATTTGCTATAACTTTTTTTTGAAGGGTGGACAAACGAAAATTTTTGTTGGACAATCGTGGACAAACGATTGGCGATTTATTTTTATAAAAATTCGGATTTGGCGGTGCTAACTTCACGGACCTTTACTCTAGTGTTTTGAA